TATATATTTATGTTTTTAATGTTTGTTGTGAGCCGCCCAGAGTTCCCCCATTGGGGGGAGAGGGGCGGGTGAGAAATTTAATAAATAAATAAATCTAAAACTGACCCACCAAGCCAACTTGCCAAAATCAGATCCTTTATCTGAAGCCCCTTCCCTTCCCATCTTGTCTATTTCTCCCACTCACATTCATATACCTCAATGAAATGTGAATGAAAACATTAATTCTGTAGTGGTGGTGTATACGCCCATACAAAATAGAATACTAACGTGATGAAAATATAAATTGCATGTTCTGAGTCCAAACTCTTCCTTCAAGCTTCAGAAAAGTAACACTTCTTTCCTGTATAAAAATCCCAGGACATTTCGAGAGGCCTGACCTTTAAAAAATATATTATTTAAATTCTGCCCTGCACCTCAGCTACCACTCTGTTGTCAAAGGAGGATACAGAGAGGGAAATACAGCTTTCAGAATTCAAGAAAACAGAGGGTGGATGAGTGATTCCTTCTTGCCCATCCTAGCTATATCTATAGGATTTCTCACTGAAATCCTATGAAAATATTCGCCTCCATTGCTATTCTACGAAAAGCTATACATGGTCAGGATTGTTGTATCAAGTAGAGCCGGCGCTAACTTCCCAAGGATGCCACACGGATCACAGTATAAATTAATGAAAATAGTTAATGTCATTTTTCAACTTCTTCAAACCATTCTGGAACTCCTGTACAAATAAGTAGGGGTGACCACTCCCCCTTAGCTCAATTTGGAACCAAATCATCAACCCCAAAACACTGAGAAAATGTTAGGAGGGAAAAGAACTTGAAAAGAACATTAAAAACTACTGCTTTTGAACTTCTGAAATTTGTAAAAGTTCTGCTTTTTTTTTTCCTTTGTGGCTTCCAGAACCCACTGCAACGAACCCACCCAAATGTATCACGTGCAGTTTTGGAAAAATCAGTGGAGGTGCTTCCTGCCATTTTTGCAACAGAAAGGTAAAAAAGGTAGTCAGCATCCTAAAACAAACTTAGCACAATTAACTGCCAACCTAAAAACTCCCGAGAAACCCACCCCTCCATTTCCTACCCGCAGTCATGTAAGTGAAGCAGGCCAGCCCACTTTGCATCACTGGGTCACCCACTAGGGTACAGGCAGAATCTCCTTCAAGCTGATTTTGACCTCTGGTGATCCCACAGACATGGCCATGTAGTTTTCTTGGCATGGTTTGCTATCGTTTTCGTCTGGGGTGTTTTTTCAACACCCCATTCTAGCTGACCACCAGGGTATTTCTTAGTGGTCTTCTATCCAAGTCCTGGCCAGATCCAAACTTGCTTAGCTTCCGAGCCTGGCTACCTGAACAGTTACCCATGTTCTGTGCAGCTCCAAGTGCCCCTTGGGCTAGGCAGCACATCTGACTTGCACCGTTTGCTTCGGTCAGGAGACTGCAGAGCACTGTGACTCAAAGCTTCAGGGGTAGTATTAGGCTAAAATATCGGTCCCCAGAGCTGTTCATCTCTTTCGGAATCCTTGTGTACTTGTGGGCAAGTATTAATACATGTCTAAAGCCCTGGATTGGAAAAAGATTCCAGTTTAAAAGCATCTGCTGCAGATACAGAGAATCTTGTTTTCCATTCTGTTGCCATGCTGAACTAACTAACTTCCAAGGAAGAAAACACACCATCAGTTCGTACTCCATCCAGGTCACCTGGGGTGGACAAACCCATAATAATTCTGAATCTGACAACAGCAGGTATCAACCATCTCACCAACTGCAAATACCCTTCAGCCAAGATCAACCCGGCAGATAAGCCACCATAGCCAGGTGCCTCCATCCCACAGCAGGCTAGCAGAGATCGCTTACCGATTCCACGCTTCTCAAGTAGAGCCTGTAGTTGGTGATATACACTCTCCCTTTAACAGGACCGTTGAAAGGACACATGTAGATGACTTCTTTGTCTGTGGAAGAAACAGCAGCTCCACATTTGAAACATGGCAATATAATCAAGATGTAACTGAGATACAAAAGAAACCTCAAAAGGCAGAGATTAGTAAAGGACTGTGATGGAACGTATCTACGAAGAGGAGGGTGATGTGAGAGATCAAGGCTATCAGGAGGGAGGGAGTGCATTCCAGGAGGGGAAAGGAGGCAAGAGACAACACAATCCGCAGGGGGAGCGTGAGAAGAAGAAGAAGGTTCAGGATAGCCACCCCCTAGAATCTCCAACTAGGGTATATCCATCCACTAGTTGCTGTAGTACAGATTTAGCCTGGCAAGATTCTGCTATAAGGTGTAAGCAAATAAAGGAACTTTACTCAGCTGGACTGTTTCACCATTGTTCTTGGGCTGGGCCTGACAAGAACCCTGAAGTGGAATGAACTACTGCTAATGGAGGCTCTTGTGTTGTGCAGTTGTGTGTGCAAAGCGTAGCTCAGATAACCTTTTTATAGTTGGAAAGACAGGCATACAAACATTTTTACAAAAATAGTATCAAATTTCTCCTCATTACAAAAGTATAGTAGAACATTCCGAATTTACCTTTCTAAAAATTCACAGATCTCTAGGCAGCATTTACTAGCAGACGATGTATGGAAATGCTCAAAAGCTGTTGTGGCAGATAAAATGAAATTGTCCTTTTGTTGAAAAGGGCAATGCAATATCTCTAAATTTTATGGGAAAGACATACATTTAGTCACTGATGTATCCCTGGTCAAGTGAAAAGGATTTTGTGTGAGTCTGAGGGAAGCATAACCCTCTTTTGTGCTACACAGCGAAGGATCGAAAAGGTAAGATACTTTTGAACTGTATCATTCTCATCCCATACTGACTCTATGAGTATGCCCCCAAAACACAGCAAATGCATTTATTGCAGAGCAATCTAGTCGAATTTTTATTTCATACCTATACCAGAGCACTACAATGTTCAAGCATGCTATTCTTCAGATAGCACGCAGCCCACTTTATTCTTCTTCTTGCACAACTGACTTGGGTTTGGGAGCAACTGATTACACACTATGGAATCTGTTTTTACCTGTGACTCTAGTTTCCCCTGGCAGACGAGGAATTTCTTCATTGTGTTCCCAGTTAGTTCCATCTTTCACAGGCTAAAAGGGAGAAATAACAAGATCAGTGTAGGGACTTTTGTTCTGTTGGTAAGATTCTGTAGGCATAAACTGCATAGAACAATTCTGAGAGCAATTCTTCATGTTTTCATCTATTCTTTGTAGGAGAGCCATGTTAGACTACGGTAGCAAAACATCAGAAAGAGTCTTCTAGTCCTTTTTATGACTAACAAATTTTATTAAAAAGCATTAAGTTGCAGCTCATGAAATCTTATGCCTTTTAATAAAATGTGTCAGTTGGAAAAGGTTCTACCAGACTCTTTCTGATTTCCACCTACTCTTTGTGACTTAAGTCTTAAGAAATATGCAACTTAATAAAATGAAAGAGGCTGAGAACAATCAAAATTCTTAAGCAAAGAACTACGTAATGCTAAAGAAGGAGAGGGGAACTGTTTGATGGTTTGGGGATGTATTCAGCCTTTTTTTTTCTGAGGCAAGAGATGCCTTGATGAAATAAAATATTACTATGCACATGGGTGGGGATTCCTAGGTTTTTTTCCCCTCTGAGGTTGGGGGAAAGTCACTTTTCTTTATTTTTAAACTATATTAAATCTATTTTTTCCTGTGCTTCACACCTCAAAGAAAGTGAGAAATCATACTGCTAATTTTCAGAAAGTGGCCGGGGGAGGCCTCAGCATTACCAAAAATGCTTTAAGAACCTGATGTGGCACTCAGGTCTTAGGCTGTCCAACCATGGGGTAACAGCTTCCAGAAACATTTTAAACATTTAATAATATATAATTTAAAAGAAGCCCAGGAAGATACTCACTTTTTTAATTGAGGCATTCTCCAAGGAGTTTGAGTTGCATCTAGGCGTTGATGAAGAGGCCATGCTGGAGAACGGGGGGAGGTTCTGCTGAGAAAGCAGACACAGCAGGCATCAAATCAAATCTTCATTATGGTCACAGACCAGCATTGATTTTAGCTGGACTACACACACGAGCAGTTTCAAATGGGGGTGTTGTTTTTGCAACCTTTTCTAGGTGGGCAGAAGGCTGACAAAAAAAAGAGGGTTTCAACAGGTGTCGCCACTTTATGTCCCAAATACATTGCATGTCCTCCTCCTCCTAAAAGTTACCTGCAAAGTTAAATTTTTAGTTTTAATAACGGTGTTACTCAGGCCGGTGCAAAAGGGAATGCGAAATGGAAGCTGAGCAAGTTTCCGTTAGGGGGAAAGTTGGTTAAAAAGAAACTAGTTTTAAAAAAAAAGAAGTCTGTTTTCAGTGCCAAACCATTTTTGCAGAATTAACTGCTCCCTGAAAAAAGAAAAGAGACAGAAACTACTGGACTCAGTTGGAAGGGTGGCAACTGCCGAGGATGCCGAGATGCCCAACTGGGATGCCATTTATGGCTGATGGCTTGAGTGGAGACTGATTTCTCCCCACTGCTCTTCTGTGCCCAGCTACAAAAGGGGCTCTGGGAGGCACAAGTAGCAGGAAGAGTTTCTTCAAGACCGCTGTCTTTTGTTTCTTTAATGCTGATAGTTTTACTAGTTTTAGTAAAACTATCACCATCAAAGAAACAAAAGGGCTTCCTGCAAAGAAGTACATACCAATAATAATTATAACAAATAATTACAATATTTTTTGCAGTTTCTAAGACCAATCCAAAACCAGTTATTACCTAGATGGCATCAAACTGCCCCCCGCCCCCAAAGGCTGAATTCGCACAAGATCTCAGGAATCTCACTTGTCCAAATTTCACACCATCTAATAGGAAAACAATGAAATCTCACAAGATCTGGCAGCCAGGAAGTGCCGCACTTTTTATGCAGGGAAATGCAAAGATTTCAGGCCTCATTCTAATTCAGGGAGCCTGTCAGTTCTGGGGGCAGACAATCCAAGGCCAGGCTGCATGTTGCAGAAAGAAAATGAAAACTCATCAGCCAGATGAAAGCTTTTAAGGATCCAAGAATTTCTCCGAAACTTCCTAAAAACCACTGAGAGAGACCAAGGGCCAATTCGCCCCAAAAGAAGCGTGGCCTTAACATAGGCCAGTTATGCCCATAGATCTGAGGACTGCACTTGTATCACCCGTTCTTGCCAAGGAACTTCATGAACTGGCCAGGATTCCTTGGTTTCATGGGCACGCATCCGAATCAGCGCTCAAGGAGCCTCAATGCTCCTTGTCCTCCACCTTGCACTGCTATGTTTGCTTTGTGGTGAGGGGAAAAATAGGAGGTCACTGTATGCTAGATCATCCCTCAGACCCACCACAGAAGACGGGAATGGGAGGTAGGCACTCTAGGGCCTTGACTTCAGCAAGAAGGGGGAGATCTGAAGAGGCAGGACTTCCCGTCAACTGCCCTACGCCCCCCAAGAAATCCTGCAATATTGTTTTCACGCAGTTTCCCCAGAGCAGCTCAGCCGGAAATTAATATGCTCAGCTACAGAAAAACCCTCCAACATCAACACATCGTGAGGACATGATGCCAATCCCAAATTGGTCCACCCTGAACTGGTGCAGTCCGAGAAGAGAGGTCCTTGGTACAAGGGAGCTGTAGGCCTTGCAACATAAAGGATGACATTAATTCAGGGATTAACTTCTGAAAGAAAAATGTAGGTGCTGTCAAAATGTTCTGGATTATAAAATAGCCCTTCCAGCCGATGACAGTTGCACTGCCACTGATGGCAAGAAATGTGTACAATGAGACCACTTTATCGGCTTGGCAGCAGCCAGCAATTCCCATGAACACTGGCCCATCTTTTTAGGAGGAGTGTGCAGTTATGCCTCTGAAAAACAATTCTCTCTGGGACTGTGAACCAGGAGCCGAACAACTTGAGGTGCAAAATCAAACATTATATGCAATTTGTCAGGAATGGTTCCAAACCCTAACTCTCCGGGTGAACATCTTATGGAGAAAATTATAACCATGCGCCACGCAGAGATCTCAGAGAGGCCAAAGCAGGTAGACAGATGCTTCTTCTTTCGGCTTTAGAGGCTGTGAGACTGTTCCCTGAAAACCAGCTCTCTCCTGAGATCAACTCGCTCCACAGTAGATTTGTCGGGTTGGAACAATTTCAGGAAAAACTGCAAAAACGTCTTTGCCGAGTTATCTGGGACCAGTTTGATCCTGTTGGTCCTGAGGAAGTGGACAGGATCCTCCGGACTGTAAATGCCACCACATGCCCTTTAGATCCATGTCCCTCCTGGCTGGTGAGGGCAGCCAGGGAGGAGACGTGTGGTTGGGTCCTGGCGATGGTTAATACATCCTTGAGAGAGGGGGTGTTCCCAGTGACCTTTAAGGAGGCGCTGGTGCGCCCCCTCCCCAAGAAACCACTGTTGGACTCTACTGTTCTGGCTAATTTTTGTCCAGTGTCCCACCTC